ATAGTTCGTGAGGATTAAACAAGTAGGCATATTAACCATATTTAGGAAAAGGTCCACCAGAGAATCAATGTAATTACTATTATTTCTAATATTTTTATCCTCAAAGCTTTTAGAAATATCCTAAATTAATTTTATAAATATCCAACATTAATTTCTAACTTAAAGGTTGGAAATACAGGTGTACTCGAACCACATACTATATATAGTAGTGTTCTTAAATGGACTTAAAATGGCCATTTAAAAAACATCACATGGTCCGCCATTGCCTTTGTAAGATTCTCTATTTGTATTGGTCCCCAATACCACAAGATCAGTTAATGCAGAGCAATAGCCTCAACCCCGGAGTGATTTTGTCACCTTACCCCAGGGGAATTTGGGCAATATCTGAAGTCATTTTTGGTTTCACAACTGGGGAGGCATGGGTAGAGGCCAGTGGGTAAGGCCAAAGAGGCTGCTAAACATCCTGCGATGCACAGCACAGGCCCACAGCAAAGAATGATCTAGGCTCAAATGTCAGTAGTGCCATGGTTGAAAAACCCTGGTGTGGAGTTTCATTGCCAAAAGGGGAATAACAAAAGGAACTGTCATAGAGCTGGTGAAGATCAAAACGCTTCTTACTCAGTTACTGATGTTTCTGGATTTTGTTTTTTTTCAAATTTGAGTTTCCACTTTTGTCAGAAGCTTAACAAATATGGTAAAAAAAAAATGAAATGTGACACTGTATATTTTAAAGATTCCACCTGCCTCTAAATACAGAAACAATTCAGTTTTCAAAAAGCCACTTAAACCCAAATTCAGAATCTCAAAAAGACCCATCAGAGTCTATATATGGCATATATCCTAGATAAACTCATGCATGTGAGTCTGAAGGGCTATGCAGAACAACATTGGCAATGGTGAAACATAAGTCATAATCTAAATACCCATTAAAAAGAAATGGATAATCACAGGGATCTAAAGTACAGCATTGGGAATATAGGGAATAATATTGTCATAACTATGTATGGTGTCAGATGGGTACTAGACTGACCGGGGTGACCCCTTCACAAGGTATATAAATATCTAATCCCTCTGT